AAGGACCCCAAAATAAGGTATCCCTTGTTTCCCGAAACTCCCAGAAACGCGTGCTTGCTCAACAGCCCATGGCCACCATCCTCACTTAGGTTCAAAGCTCCTGGCTCTTCTCTGCCCTTGGCCTTGTAGTAGACTCTATATAGTATCAAGATCATATTACATAGTAACATAGTATATAGGACATAGTATACAGTCTATAGTCTATGGCGTGGATTTTTTTATAGTACCCGGGCGCGCACTAGGCATGACGAGCCTTCGAAAGGTGGAGGCAACCCCTCTCGGACCCGAAACATGGGCCCCTCGGTACATGTGCCACCCACCCGATGCTATTACGGTAGCCAGGGCACAGGGTTTAGGGTTTAGGGTTAAGGGTTTAGGCTTTAGGGTTAAGGGTCTAGGGTTTACAGGGTTTAGGGTTTTGGGTTAGGGCTTAGAGTTGGTTTGGGGTTTGGGCTTGGCAATTAAACTGCATTTAGACCCTTTGTGCGGTGTTGCTGCTGGTGGCTTGTGGCAGTTGGGGTGGAGGGGGCTGTGCGCACCACTAGTTTCTGATGACGCTTAAAAATCCCCCACACCCTCTCCTCATCGCGCAGAACCTGTAGGCCTTGAGGCCCGCAAGCAAGTTTCCAGATCCGGGCTACCCGGGGATCAACATCAAAGCTTTCATCTTCAAACCCTCTTGAATGTCTCGGGTTGGGCTTTGGGTTTAGCACCGAAATGTAGGTGTAGGAAAAGCGAAATCTTAACCCCAAACAAACCCTAGACTCCAAACTGTAAACCACTACCACCCAGCCCATTCCCCACGGGGGCCGGATTGCTGATCTGCCGCTGGAACGTGTCCATGACAAACGCAGGCAGGTCTGGTGGCTCTTGCGCGGGTCCTGCTCAGGAAACCCTGAGCCCTAAACCCTGAACCCTTGATTTTCTGGCTCAGTGCTGCAGGTAGGCTCACGGGGTTACGGGATTCAGATATTCGCAATGAGGGCCCGAACTAGATACGCCCAAACCCGAAGAATGCATGAAAGACACGAGAAGCACATGTAGGTATCTCAAACGTGTCTGCACGGATGTTTATGCCTATCTTTCTATACAGATATGTATGAATATGAATACACATACATGTGTATATATATATATATACCTAGATACATATACCTAGATATATGCATGTGTTTATATCTGCCTACCTATCGGTCTACCTATCCGTCTATCTATCTATCTATCTATCTATCCATCTATCGATCTATCTATCGGTCTATCTATCGGTCTATCTATCCATCTATCTATCTATCTATCTATATATCTATCTATCTATCTATCTGTCTATCCGTATCTATCTGTCTTTCTATCCATCTATCTATCGATCTACCCATCTATCTATCTATCTATCTATCTATCTATCTATCGATCTATCTATCTCTGTATCTATGTACCTGTGTGTATACATGCGTTCAACTACGTCTCTTGTCAGTGTGTACACCTATAGCTGCAGGCGTATATCAAGTGTGGGTATTTGTGTGTGTGTGTGTACGAATGTACACGTTGTGGTTGGCTAGTTGAGTTGAGGTCCCATGATTCGTGCAGCGAACAGTACGAGGGCTGTATGCATATCCAGAAAACCACTATATCTTGCTGCTCACATGATGGACATCGCAAAACTATCCGAATCCACCTCCGAAAGCCCAGAGCATTGAGGCCTTAACCCGAAACCTAAACCTAAACCCTCAACCCCTTAACACTAAAATCCAGAAACCCTAACCTCTGGAAACCAGCAAACCGACGCCAGCAGACCACGAAACCAAAAAAAATGGATTCCTAAGCTCTGACATTCTAACAAGTAAACCCGAAAACCCACCAGACTGAACCCTCAAGAAAACCTGAACCCTAACATGCACCCAAAAGCACACCGAGGACGGACCCACACGCATAATGACAACAAACCAAAAAACAACAGAAAGCAAGAACAAAACACCTCCAAAAGCCTGAAGTTAAGGGACAAGAGGAGGGACCCCTAGAAGGGACCCTTAATCCTAATACCCTATATAAACCTTATATACCCCTTATATAGTCTCATAAAGCCCCTATATAGCCCTAAGGGTCCCTTTAAGGGTCGCTCCTTTAGTCCTCTGATGAGAAGCAACTCACAGTCAGCGTCAACCCTGAACCATAAACCCTAAACCCTAAACCCTAAACCCAAAGCCCTAAACCCTAAAACCCTAAACCCTAAACCCGATGAAAAACAACTCGCAGTCAGCGTCCTACGGACTTGAAGGATCGCGGTGGTAGTGGCTCCACGGGCGCTGGGCCTCCCCACGCTGACTTCACCTTGATACCTGTTTAGGGTTTAGGATGTAGGGTCTAGGGTTTAGGGTTTAGGGATTAGGATGTAGGGTCTAGGGTTTAGGGTTTAGGGTGTAGGGTTTAGGATTTAGGGTTTAGGGTTTAGACGTTTAGGGTTTAGGGTTCAGGGTTCAGGGTGTAAGGTTTAGGGTTTAGGGTTTAGGGTGTAGGGTTTAGGGTTTAGGGTGTAGGGTTTAGGGTTTTGGGTGTAGGGTTTAGGGTGTAGGGTTTAGAAGTTTAGGGTTTTGGGTTTACAGTTTAAGGTTTTAGGGTTTTCAGTTTAAGGTTTAGAGATTAGGGTTCAGGGTGTAGGGTCTAGGGCATTGGGTTTAGGGTTAACTGTGAATACTGCCTCCATACAGTAATAGCCTATAACAGAGCTAATCTTATGGACCTTGTAAATAATACAAATATTCTTCCGGGGCCTGCATAGCTACAGAGGCTTTGAAGGGGCATCAACAATGAGAAGAGTAGCCTTGACACTTTTAACAAGGCTCTGAGTCTCTGAGAACTATAGAAGTTTGATACTACCTATAGTCTCCATTGTAGTTCCTTTTGTTTGTTTTAACCAATTATATATATATTAAGGATTTCATAAGGTATCCGCAAAAAGGAACTACAATAGAGACTATAGGTAGTATTGGAGTTACTCAGGCTTCTCTGTTAGAAGAGCCCTTTCGGGTAAGGCTTCCCGACGCGTAAACCCTAAACCCTAAACACGATCTAGGATTTCAGGGCTCGAGTGAGGTTTGGGTCTTGCGGCGCGCAAGGTTAGGACAGGATTTCTGGTGCATTGCTCTCGGGTACATGGGTTTGGTTTAGGATCCTCCAGTTGAAGATTTAAAGATTGAGGGTTTGGTGTTAGGCATACAAATGGCTGGCAAGCATCGGATTGTGTTCAATCTTGTATGGATACAGTCATGATCTGAGTCGTCTAATGGTTTGTGGCTGTAGTTTCCGGAAAATTACTTGATGCAAAACAAGAACTATGTTGAATTCATGCGTTTGGCTACATTCACTATGTCTCCTTTGTTGCTTCATTATATTCAGTATTCTTCACTGGGTTCACTGTTGTTGATGCTATGTTCAACTGCTCTGTTACTGATTTGTTCACTGATTTCACATTTGTTCACTGATTTCACTTTCTCTTTTATTTTTTATCATGAGTTTCCATTATTTCGGTATAGATAATATGGAAGATGACGATAGTGACAATTCGTATGACTACGTGAAACATGTGAAATCAGTGGAAAAAACAAAAAAAGGTGGTGCACAACAGTGAACTCACTGGAAAAAATCATGGAATAATTACAATGCGTTATAAAAGAGTGAAACTGGCTGTGAAATCAGGGAAACGCATTGGAAACATCATGAAAACTCCGAGTTGCTGTGTTTGGAAACAATGGTACTACCAAATCACTGTACGGCGTCACAGGCTTCTGTCTCTGCGCAACTTTCCACTAACTTCTCACTGAGTTCTCACAAACATGTCACTACTTTGATCACGGCTTCGGGCACAAACAAGATCTGGTTCACCAGCTCTCTCACAACCCTACACCCCACACCTTACTTATTAACGTTTTTCGACACCAACTCAAGTGTGGCCACACCTCCCAATCACAAGTTTAGTGGCTTAGGGTTTTAGGGTTTAGGGTTCGCGGATCAGGGTTCAGGGTTTCGGGTGTGCAGGACCTTTGGCTTTTGGGCTTCGGGTTTAGCGCTTTGGGATTGTACCTAAGCATAGGGGCCTGCCTAATTCGAAGAGGATTTTAGGGTACCGGTATCCTGACAATGTCATTCGGAAATTATACTATTACAACAAGATTACAAATGTTCTATCCTCTACTCTATGTTGAAGTTCCTTTCCGTGGATTCAATGTTTTCCTGTGTTTTGTTCCTATAACAGACAAAACCGCAAACAAGGCACTACAAGTAGAGACTACATGTAGACCGCAACAGCAATTTTGTTGGCAGCGAAGTCACTGAACAAAGCTGCTCAGCCTTGTTGCGTCGCACTCTGCTCGGGAAGACCCCTGAACCCTAAACCCTAAAGCCTAAACCCTAAAACCCTAAAACCCTAAACCCTAAACCCTAATTGCCGACGGCACCGGCAACAGCCATTGGGCCGTCTCCCTGCCCAAGCTGCGAGTAATCTTGCAGAAAGAGATCGGGTCGAGGGCAGGAGCAAGGGTTTAGGGTTTAGGGTTTAGGGGTTTTGGGTTTAGGGTTTAGGGTTTAGGGTTTGTTCAAAGGTATCAGTTCCCTTGACGGTGACGCCGGTCTCGAGTGTGCTGCCAGGCTGAAATTATGCTCTCGCAGGTCGCGGGCTTGCTGCGCGTGGCCGGCAGCTTCGCGATGTCCGGCCGAACGAACTCCCCGTCGTTGGCGGTCTCAACCAAATGGGTAGTTGTCAAAATTATGGTCCCTTTTAGGGTACCCTAAATAATAGGTGCCGTATTATAATAAGGACCCAAAAAGGGACCATAATTTTGACAACCACCCAAATGGATTAGCTCCGCCACTCCGTGCTACAGAGCCAGACAGGGCAAAGAACCCTACTCCGTTGATAGGGCCCAGGGTTCAGGGCAGGAAGGACCTTGGAATCGCCGCCCTCCAATCTCGTCAAGGTGAAACTCGACACCAACATCTGTCAGAGAAGATGGGGTCAACACCGCTGGCTCACGAGCCATACACTGATGAGGCCGGCGCTGTGCTCCCCGGATACTTGCCCAGCCAGAGGCCCCTGAAGCCTTCGATTGTTAAAGCCTCCGATTCTCTAAACCACAAATCACGAACATCCTGGCGCGGAACCCTAAACGGTTCAGGGCTTAGGGTTTAGAGTTTAGGGTAAACCCTAAGGCCTAAACCCTCAACCCTAAACCCTACTTAACGCCTGAAGCCAGAAACCTCGAGGTGCCCGCCTCCCCCGTCTTCGCCGACAGCTGCGCGAAATCGCCGCATAGCCTGGAGGTATACATACCATATAGGGGCCTTAATAGTTAGAATACGGTTTTGGGGGTATACTATACTATAGCTATAAGACGGACCCCCCAAAATAGTATATGTAATTACTATATTAAGGCCAAATTAAGGCCCCTGTATTGCTCTACCACGGCTCTTTTCAGGAACCCCAATAAAAAAAACCCTAAAGCCTAAACCCTAAACCCTGAACCCCAAGGAAAAAAGGCACCTTTTAGAGCAACCCTCTCTAAAAGTTCTTGTCTTAACACAGTAGGGCGACGAATCGAAACCCTAAACCATGAGCCCTGAGCATGAAACGCAGAATCCGAACCATGATACTAAACCCAATACAGGGTTTAGGGTTTAGGGTTTAGGGTGGTACTAAACCCTAAACCCTACCTGTAGTCTCCATTGTAGTTCCTTTCTTCGGTTAACCAAGTTACCAAGTTTGTATTGTAGGATCCCAACCATACGAATGGCTACCCAAAAAAGGGAACTACAATGGAGGCTATAGGCAAACCCTAAACCCCTACACCCAGAAGTCTCCTTGCCCAATCCGCTGTGCAAACCCCTCAAACTCTCATAGGATCCCGGTAAAATCTCCGATGCCCGCACTTTTATATCACCAAGGGTTTAGGGTTTCGGGTTTAGGGTCATCAAAACACCCCAAAGAACCCCAAAAGCCTGAACCCGAACTCGCCAAACCCTCTGCCCTTGATCCTCTAAGCTGAATCCTTGAAACCCTAAACCCTAAACCCTAAACCTTAAACCCTGAAAACCTCACTGAAAGAGCCAGATTGCTCCTTCTTCCGCAGGTAAGCGATGATTTGCAAGAAGGTGGCAAGAGAGTGCGCTTAGGGTTTCGTGGTTTCTGGATTTCGGATTTAGGGTTTAGGGTTAAGGGTTTAGGGTGTGTTTAGTGTTTCAGGGCTTGGACGTAGTTAACTTATGATGAATCGATAGCTACCTGCACAAAACCCGCAGCCCCGCTCCACTAAAACCAAGAATCAGCAAGGCCCAAACCCCAAACTCCATCGGAGCACCTGCGAGCTCTCACCGAAGCCAGCACTTCCTCACTTTTCGAAGGATCCGGCTACTTCTGGAGGCCCTACTTTAAAAAGACAGGAAATAGGGTTTAGAGGTTATTTTGTAATCCCTAAACCCCTAAAACCCTAAAAGCACAGGGAGCATGTTGGAAACTCTGACTAAGAGCCCAGATGCTCGCATTTTCTTGACTGAAAGCCTCCGGATTGTACGGTTTAGGGTTTACGGTACAGTGTAAGGTACTTTTGATTCGGGTTTAGGGTTTAGGGGTTTGGGTTTAGGGTTTAGGATTTGGCACACTTGCAACCTAACCACGTATTCTGCGATCATCAAAGTATCTCTTCCAAGCCGGTGCATAAACCAATGTCCGGGCTGGGGGGTAAAGGAACATAACATAGGGGCCTTAAAAGTTAGAATAGGGTTCCTTTAAAGGGGTCCTTAGAGGATTCTATAAGGGATTTATGATAGGGTTCTATATTAGGGGCCTTAGTAATTAGAATAGGGTTTGCGGTATCTTATACTATTATTGTAATAAGGACCCCCCGCCCAACAAAAAAAAAAAAACCTTATTCTACCTATTAAGGCCCCAACATGAGGGCGTCTGACAGATGAGGTTTTCGGGCTCAAAGCCTACCGTGTAGAATGGCGTAGGGCTGTTCAGACGCGAGGTTTCATTTCAGGATTAGAAAAGGCTTCGGGGCTTGGATAAACGCTGAGTGATGATTCCTACGGTGGTTCAACTGGCTCGTGGTGCAATGGAAGGGAGGAAACCCTAAACCCTAAACCGTACACCCTAAACCCTAAACCCTAAACCCCTACTTGTAAGAGTCACTGCCCCTGCAAGATCAACCCTTTCAAGGTCTTGGTAATGCGTGAAGGGGTTTAGGGATTTAGTGGTTTAGGCTTGGGTCTCTAATTGCTTCGGCTGGCAAGCACGTGAGCTCATCCGATTCAAGCAGCTCTGCAGTGAATGTTGGATCACAAAATAGGGTTTAGGGTTGAGGGTTTGACGCAAAAATGTTGCTGCTTCCTTGCAGGAGCTCTTCCCCCATCGACGTTCTGCCATGTAAGCCGCTCAATGTCGATGATTCCGGTGTAGGGGTTTAGGGTTTAGGGT